TTTGTATAATCTTTGTTTTAAACGTGAGCTTTTTATTTGCGTAAAGGGGGCCCGGCTCCTTCTGTGTAAGTCTGGTGGGATCCTTTGTAGAAGCTGTGTTCGCTGAAACCGAACAGAGAACAGTCCACTCTCTGGTACTACTAGCTAAATACTCAGTTTCATATTCTACTTAACAAGTTAATAAACTGAAATATTTCTAGATGGTCTACTTCTGTTCATATAAAAACATGAATTTTAACTATGTGGCTTGGCTTTCTTTTATTTGTGGAGTGCAAGGCCCAGCTGAGGAGGAGTGAGCAACAAGAGTAAATGCCTGTGCTAAGTAATAGTCGTGTTGGAGGAATTTGCAGTAACTTTATTTCTGCTGGTATCTGAATTTACTGCTAGCTAGCAAACTAACTGCTTGTGAAACCTGTCCTTGGAAGACACCCCCCTCCCCAGTCCTGCGTGTGGAATAAAGCCTAAGGCCGGCATAGAAAACAGTCAGAAAAGGAGCTTTCCATGTGCCTCTTTCCGACAGTGGAGTCATCTGGATGCTGCAGTGCTGAAGTCCGTTTTACCGTTGATTTACCCTGATGCGCATTTAACCCGGCTGCACCCCGGGTAACCCGTGCCGGTGGGAGGTGTGCTTTTAATGTAATCGGCCATCAGAGGAATAGCAGTGCTACCTTTTGTCACGGCAAAAAAAAATAAAAATGTAACTTAATTAAATTGGTAATGATAAACTAAAAACTGAAGTGGAATCTATTGTACAAGTGTGTTAACCGTTTTATATTTAGTACTTAAATGTAGCCTTGGCTCGCGTGGAGCGAGCCCTTGGAGTTACGGTCAGGATCAGGCAGGCTAAAATGACAAGGGCTCCGGTGCCTGGCAGGGGTGAAAGCTGCACTTCGTATTATTGGACTTGGATCGTGGAAAAAGAGCATCAATTTCTAAGGTCTAGGATTAATTCCCATGCCTACAATTTTTTTTTTTTACTTACTCTTTTTAATATTTTTGCTACTCCACTCTGGCTTTTTATTTAAAACACATTCTTTTGTACCACTTACTGTATCAAATTGTATAAAAGATCACTGTCCCATTCTTGGTCATACCAAGAGCAAATAAAAGCTTTTATAAACTTGCATTTGTTACTTCCTGGGCCCTGTTAAACACACCTGAAGGTCTCGTTCGGCCCGCTCCACGTGAGAGCGGGGCTGGGCCTTGGCGCAGGGCGAGAGCCGGCCCCGGGTCCGTCCCTGGTGCCTGAGAGGTGAGTACCCGGCTGTAACC